ACTGCTGCTGTGAACATTGATGGTCAAGTTTTTGTTTGAACACCTGCTTTCATCTCTTTTGGGATTATACCTAGGAGTGGAATTGCCGAGTCATGTGATAATTATACATGTAATTTATTGAGCAGCCACCAACTGTTTCCATAGTGGCTGTACCACAGGCTGTTCCTGCCAGCACGGGCCCCAGTTTCTCCACATCCTCACCAATGCGTGCTGTTTTCCATTTGCTTTTGTTTTTGTTTTTGTTTTTGGCCACACCACATGGCTTGCAGGATCTTAGTTCTCTGACCAGAGATTGAACCCGGGCCCTCAACAGTGAAAGCGCTGAGTCCTAACCACTGGACCACCAGGGAATTCCCTGTTTTCCATGTTTTTGATCCCAGCCATCCTAGTGGATGTGAGGTGTTATCTGAACTGCTGCTGTTCAACCAGGTTCCCCTTCCTCCCATGTGTCAAGGCCACAGTGGCCTCTGGGCTGAGTGCAGGCAGCCTGGAAGCAGAGGCCCGGAGCTGAGCTGAGTGGCTCCCGGAACCTGCTGTCCTAGAAACCCCCTCCCAGATTTTGGGAGCTGAAAACTCTGAGTTGGGGGAGTCTGAGGTGCAGAAGGTCAAGCTGGCCCTTGAGGGGAGGGAGCCCAAGGACAGAGCCAGTCTGTCTGAGTCGAGAGAAGGATGCAGTATGAACAGCCAAGGAAGGTTCTCTCAGGGGCTGTCACCACCAAGAGTCTGAGTTGGGGGTCTAAAGCTTAAAGGAGAGGGTGTGGGGAAGGCAGAGACACAGAAGGACAGGGAAGTTCTGGGGAAGACTCTTCACTTCTGCTAGTAGTGTTGAATAAATCAAACGAATTCATTTCGGTCAAAGTGCAGAGGCTAAATCTCATTACAGCAATATTAGCGAGTCCAACATGCATGCTCCCGCCTCGCACCGGAATTTCATCGGCAATTGTAACTGCCATGCCCACAGCACCAAGCACTTTCATGCATGGGCTCCCGTAATCCCACAACAGCCCTCTGATGGAGGTACGGTCATTGCCCCGCTTTAAAGAAGAGGAAACAGAGGCACACAGAGAGGTCACGGGCCTTGCCCAGGATCTCCTGCCAGGAAATGGCTCAGAGCCAGGTCCGTGTGAAGTACAACCCTACGCAGTCCTGCCATCTGGCTGGAAGCAGCATTTCCCTGCCTGGGACTTGGAATAACAGGCTCATAGACGTAGAGGGTTCCTGGGGCGTATTCTCCCGCATGCCTAGGAACATCTTCACGTGGGGGACCTGTGTTTGAAATGCCTGCCTCTGGCCGGTCCCACACAGGGCCTATATATTGACCTGAAGACAGGAGGGTGGCAAGTGTGGATTTCCAAATGAACAGAGCTCACTCTCAGCTCTTCTGCTGGCATGTCTGAGTCTCAGTTCCCCTCATCAGGAAAATGGGCGCCCAGCTGCACCACAGGAGCTTGTGGGGAGGACCTCTTTTTGTCACAGCCTGCTCTCTCCTTCACTGAGTGACCCCAGCCAAGGCCGACCTCTGGGGCACCTCAGCCTGATGTTAGGCTTTGAGGTTTAAGTTACCGCTTAAACCTCACACAGAAGCTCTCAAGGACCCTGTCTGGTCTCCCACTTTGTCTTCTGAGAGCCTGGCCAGAGCAGCCTGCTGTGTCTGTGCACGGGGTGGGTGTTGTAACTTTTTAACCCTCAGCCCAGGGACTGGTGAGGAGGACAGCTCAGGAGGCAAAGGCAGGGGCAGGGTCCCCGGTGCTGCCAGAGGCTCTGGCAACCTCTATTCTCCTGCCCCAGAGGGGCTGCAGATGCCTGCCAGGGGACACAGCTTCCCCACTGCCCCGAATTAGGAGGGAGCTCAGGAAGCTCTGCCCCAGCTCTAGACCCAAAAGGCAAGGTCTGTTTCCTGTCTTTACAATGGCGTAATGACATCCACGGAGCTGTGGCTGGGAGGGGAATGAGAGGTCTACCAAAGCTGTCTATGGCACTTTGTGTGTGTGTGTGGAGGGCAAATAAATGCCCTTTTTTTTCTTTTGTCTGCCCACCTAGCCGGGAGGAAGCCTCCTAAGTAAACAGCTGCCCCCTCATCCCATTTTGATTTCTGAGGAGGAATCTCCTTCTGTCCCCAGCGAGGTGCGCTGGGAAGGTGAGGTGATGTGGCAGATGCACTACGTTGCTTGGAGGTCACTGAACAGAAACCAAGCCGGCAGTTCTTCCATCCGCGACCACCCCAGGGGCGGCTGGGACTGCGGGAGAGGTTCTTGGGGGTCCTTGGCATGGGGCGCAAAGCGAGGGCGCACGCAGGGAGGATCCAGGACCCCGCCCCGCGGCCCACCGACCTCGATAAGTGGCAGCGCCCCAACTGCCCCCACTGCCCTCCGAGGGCCGCCCAGAATCTGTCCACCCAGGCGCGGGACAGGGCGACTCCCCCGTGGCGCCGTGCCGCGGCGCCCAGTCCCTCCCGCAGGTCGCCGAGGGCGCCGGGGCCTCGCACCACACCTGTCCGCTCCTCCGGGAGGCCCCGGCGCCTCTGCTTGCCGGCCCCTCGGCGCGGAGCCCTGTGTCCGCCGTCGCTTTGATCCCGGGGGCCCCGCTGGATAAAAGTCCCGGGAGGCTCCGCGCCAGCGCCAGAGGGGAGGCAGCCGAGCCGGGCGTACCAGCAGGCTGGCGCGGAGCGTCCCTTCTGGGGAGCCTGTGCAGCCCACCACAGCCAGGGTCCTGGGATCCAGGGACAGCTTCCCGGGGAGAATGCATGGTGTGCCTCAGAAATGTGCAACATCCCGCTGGGCTTTACTGCCGCAGGGTCACCCGCATCCGCACCCCTCCCTCCCCCCGGCCTGAGTGAGCCAGAGCCCCCGACTCAGCTGCTCCTTTAACCCCATCTTGTCTGAGCGAAGAAGAGACACCCTCCAGCGACCTACACGCAGAGGCGAGGCCAAATCCCCCCCCCCCGCGCCGCCCCTTCCAGTCGCCCGGGGGCGGGGGCGGCGGCGCCTGGCTGGCCGCGATGAATGAGCCGCCGGGGCCGCCGGGCCGCGCTGCCCCCCACGGAGCCGGGCCGGGAGCGCCTCCGGCGGCCGCGGCGGGATAGTCCAGGCCCCTCCGTCAGGCTTGCGGTTTGGGAAGAAAAGGCGATGCCTCCGCCAAGAAAAGAGCGAGCGCGGCCCCCTCCCCCTCCGCCGAGCCCGGGCGGCGGCGGTGGCGGCACTTCTAACGCGCGGGCACCCGGGCCGCCGCGGCCCCCGCAAACTACGCCCAGGCTCGGCCCCCGCCGCTCATTGGCGCGGGCCGGAGCCAGCGCACCCAGACCCTGCGCTGCCCTCGGCCGGGCGCGCGCGGG